GATATATTTTAAAATAAATACTAACCTTCGCGAATGCATCCGAGAAGAAGTCAGAAAGTTGAGGACATGTTTCTGGTAGACCCTCATGCTCAGGAGGCATAATCGATGCTGGATTGAAAGGGATAGAGTTGTCCCCTATTAAGCTTAGTTGATGCAGTATCTCGGAATGAAAACACTTCTTTCAAAGCTTCAGAACTCTAACTCTTCAAAACCCCAGGTAACACAGGTGTCACCGTGTTCTGAAACCTAAACTTGCACGTGTACTCGATTGTGGGAAGTAACTCCCACAATGCAATGGGCTGTACACCTGATATTTAACACTCGGTGGCGCACTGATTCCGGAGGCGTTGTCTTTTTACCACCTGTCTGAAAGAACGTCAAATGTACCCCTTGGGTGAAGAAGTTTTGAGCAAATATTTGAAAAATTAAAGTAGGATATAATTTTAAACATTACCTTCTTTTAATTTAGAATTAGTTTATTTTAGTTTGGTACCTTTTATGAAATGTAAATGCATGCACTTAGTTTCTCCTGCCGCTTATGAAATTTGTGGTGACACGGTGTCACTGCGGGTACTTGATCATATTCATTTTCATGAAGAGTTTTGCACAAACTGAGTCTCTTTTAGGATTTTATGGCCGTGATTTTAAGAATTTATCCAGCTTGTAGAGCTTGCAGGTTTTGAGAGCATCAATAAGTAAAGTGAGGCAATTTTAAGGCTGAGGCTGTAGAAAGGGACTTATTGTTGGAAATGTATTCACTATTTGTGATTGTGACGAGAGCAATAATGACGATGCGCGTAATAGTGATTCAGATGAGGATTATGTGAGAAGTAGAGATGAGTTGGCAGGAGAATCAGATGTAGGAATTCAGATAATAAGTTTGTCAATACTGAGACTGATGTAACAAGCACAGCAACTGCATATATATCAAAGTTGACTGGAAGGTGAAACAGCAAAAATGAAATATTTTAAAGTGGTTCAATGAATTTTTACCATCCTCAAACTGGCTATTTAGCAGTATCAACATGCATCAAGAATTTAGTAATTTTATCGTAGGGAGTACATTCTAAATGTTACATAAGCTTCTTCATTCTATTCAGACGGATACCTTGAAATCGTAATTATCTGACGAAGAAAAAAAAGGGCTTTCATACAACTTAAATGACGATTTTTTACACACCAAAGCCCACAATGACATATATGACACTTTTTATTTGGGGAGGAAAAAATTCTAAAAATAATTTTTTGTTCGTTTTAATTAAAAATGTTCAATAAAAGAAAGTAAAATCTTGAATATAAAAATTTTAGCTAAACTCGTTCGCGTGTTGGGTTTTGCAGGGTTAAGGATTTGCAGCTAAAAAAGAATAAATAAATGAGTGCGCCAAACTTTTCCTTCGTTTTTGCCCGATGTATGGGATTGTACAGCTCATGTTTGTTAGAGTTACCTCCTAACTTACTGTTATAAATTGATTTAGAAAGAAATATAATCAATTAGGGAAGGGAATACAAGAGAAAAGTGCAGAAAACGAACTATTGCGTGATTAGGATGGCTTTCGCAAAAATATTTTGTGGCGCAAAGACTTTGCAACTGCATTACTGTCCGTGTTTTATTTTACATAAGCTTGTGGATCTCTGTTCTCAGCTATGAACTTCATTAGGTATTGTAAGTTGTAATAGAAGTAGCCTAAAACATGAAACCAGTATGTCGTGTATTTTTTTTGAAAGTTACAAAATATAAACCCAATGTCCAATCTCTATCAGCGGTAATGCAGCAGTGTAGAATTCTGACTGATACAGAATAAGAAAAGTAATCACATATATTTGCCGGTCTGAAATTTTTTCCGGATAGTGAATCTGTCTGTACATGTTTAAAGGGGTTGTTATTTTGTATTTTTGCTTTGAAAGTAGCAAAGCATTGTTTTTAATTTTGGTCGGCAAGCGAAAGAATTTTGTTAATAAATTTAGCCAATTTTGGCGCGCAAGCCGAAAAAGGTTGCCCACCCCCGTTCTATACCTTGTACAAAATTGACTCTCTCTACCAGGTTCTATGCTTGCATCCCTGGTTTCAACAGTTCAAATCTTTGTGGTTTCACTAAATCCCCTGAGTAATAAAAAGATTCTCTGATGGCTCGAAAAGGTTACGAATCACTGGTGTGAGAGTTGGCAAAATCGGGGCTTCCAAAACTGCAAGCCCGCGCTCCTTCGATCCTATGCAATTTTTCAAAATAGTGAGATTTATACTTTTTACTAAATTTAATAGTTATGTTTTATTTAAGACTTGTGATTTGAATCAAAAGTATGAAATTTACATTATATATACCGTTAGTACTCTGTGTGTGAAGTTCGAGTATACTTTGCAACCCCAAAACTTGGTTACTTACGTCTCACCTGAGGTGTTGCGACCCCAGTTTGAATAGCTCTGCTCTAAATCGAGAGTTTATCAATTTTCACCATCGGTCTGCATTTGTCTTTAGAAGTTAAATGCACGCTTTTCAAATGTAATACATAACTTCGGAAACCCCGAATATAACACCGAATTCATGGATTTACGAGGATATATATAGTCTATACTTGCCATGGCTTTTATATTTTCTAGCCATTGAGGCTTGATTTAGCCCCGTTCACGCCTTTAGAAATATTCAAAGTTATGCAACCATTAATATCTTAATTTTCCTGATGCAGAACTTGAAAGATACGAAAAAATAATGAAGATGCGAAACCGAGGAAAAAGTCTACAGGTAAATAATATTTAAACATTTTAATTGATTTTTCGACATCTATTGATTCCCGTAAACAGTGTGATAATGCTACATATTACTGTCTAGAAGTGATGGGTTATATATTTCATAAACAATTGTAAAAAAACGTCATTGGGTAGTTTCTTGCTATAATAATATTTGTACTCTTGTTATATTCTAAAACGGCGAATAGTATCTAATGAAATTAAACGTCTGCATTTATAAATGTGACTCTAGAGAGAACTCTCATAAGAAGGTGAAATATAACACTTTTGTCAATTGTAATTTACATGATGAGGTGCAACACAATGTAATGACAGATCATTCCAAATAAGTAATATTTCATAAATTTGGGGAAAACTCTGAATTATTGGCAGGGATGTATCTACGCAAAATCGCGGCCATGACAAAGTTCAAAAACACGCCCCTCTTGATCGCTGTGTCCCAATTCCGAGGGCAAGGGGATTTTTATCATATCTCACATTTTTACATCGGTTTCGAGGGCTTTGTACGAATAAACACAATCTAATACACTAAACGGTGATATTCAATTTTTTACTATGTGTTAAACCTTTTTTTTCCAATTTTTATTTTCTTTGTATGTACCTCGCAAATAACAAAGGTAGCCGCAGACTTTCTGTTTATCTCTCCACCAATAAATTTTTTTTTCGCGTTCAGAATAGTTATTTATATACCTGGGATCTGACTTAGTATACACTTGTGTATATAGTACAACCGGTTAATTATCACTGCACTAAAATTTTATTATAATCATCTAACTAATTGAAATTTGTAGTTTTTGGTGAATTGTGCAACAAATTATCATTATTTGGGTATATTGAGTATAAAATTAACTTAGAACAGGAAAAAATGCATTTGTTTTGTTCTTCTTTTTGCCATTTTAAGCACCAATGTGCGCTCATTGATTTTTATGTTAAAGCCAGTTTGGACCAGACCAATTTCATTTTGTAGAATCGCGCCCTGGATATTAATCTGCCCAATGAAGCCGTAATTTTACGTTAAAAAGGTAGAAAATAATTGTAATTTCTACAAGTAAAGCAACATTCTTCGCGGGGTGGTTAAAATTTGAACTTCTGATCTGTGTGAAAAAATATCGATTCATCGACAATCCTTTTGGTTTTCTTCATTCTAAAATTACGTCCGGCCTCCGATACTTGCAGCCTTCTTTTTGGCCCGTGAGCGACAAAAGGTTGCGACCCTCAAATCAGAGAAATAACCAGTGAATATGCTGCAATGAGTACGGCGCTGCGTATAGAGACGTTTCTTAACCTGGGTTCGATTGGACTCCTAGCGTTTGGTGCAGCTATTCGGCGCCTAGTGCAGGAGCCATAGCTGTATTACCTTAGACACGCCTATGATATTTCGTGAAAAACTAAAAATTCATTTATTTTCGGCTTTTTAAAACACTGCTTGAAAGTTGACAACCTCATTTATTCAAGATAAATTTGTCGTTGTCATTTGTCTGGTATTCATTACTGAACAAGATGAAAGCTTATCAAGTCTAGCCAGCAGAGCAAGTATGTAATCTTTTGAGTCTTCATTTGCATATTTACGATCAATTTAAGTATCGTTTGTTCACCATCTCCTCCGGTAAAAACCAAACACCCCCGCTAACGTTGAGAATAATAAATTTGTAATTATTGTGTCAGAGTTGGGTTAGAATTGCAGATTGCGCTGTAAATACAAATTTACAAATTGTTCTTCACCCTAACTAGAAAATTACTTATTTGTTTTTTTAAAACATAGCTAAAAACGGGCCGTGACATTTATTCGAATCAGTCTATAGCTGTTTATCAATTGTTCGTATAGCCGAGATCTGACTTGGCATACACTGAGTTATTATGGTATACCCGGTTGAATATCAACGCACTAAAAGATCAAGTTCTCCAGCGCCATTAGTGTTTATTTCTTCATTGCTGACACGTATTGCACCTTTTCGTTTGTCAACGTCGCAAACGTCTCATTTCATTACTCGCATTTGATGTGTTTCTTTATTATCTGTAGACCGAGCCGAGAAGGTTTTTGTCTACGGCAATTTGCGTGTTTACATCGTTATTGTATCGCCTCGCGTTTGGAATGAAATTGTAAATGTACACAGCTAGTTTGCTGTTGCAATGCGTTACTTCCATGGCTATTTAGCATTAGGAAAAGTATCATATTAATTATAGTGGTCTAAATATGGTTTTTTTGTTACATGCTTATTTAACTTGCTAATAGTTTAAATTTGCTGCATTGAACTCTGAATTATTGAACTGCAATTTATGAATCTGTCCTGCGTTGTGATTGTTTTGTGAAATATTCTTGGTGAGTTTTCTGTATTTCATTGCATTTGGCTTGTTATGTAGTAGTCTTATTTGGATAAAATACTGTTGGTATTATATTTATTGCCACAATTAATGCTGTAGGGTTAAGTACTGTTACTGTAGTGCTTATTTGCTCATGTTTATTTCAGTGTTCTGCAGTTACATAAAAGATTCGATATATTGTTGACCTTGGCTGAAAACAGTCGGTAAGCGATATAATTTGATTGCATGTTTGTTATTTATGCGGCAAATTCATAGTATTTATAGTGTCATTTGTTTCCTTAAGAAAACCTCTCTCTCTATCTCAACTCTATCTATCTGTATTTGTCATTTGTTTCGGTAATCCATTTGGCTCCATCTGACATCTCGATTGTATATTTGTGCTGAGCAAGTGCTTGATAATTTCACGACACATTACGATTCTCCTGTGTTTAAAGATGCGTATTGTGGGCTTGTGGACTTCAAGCTTGCTTATCTCAGTTATAAGACGGGATAATTTGGAGAGGATTGTCTGGACGGAACATAGACAAATATTGCTGTATTGGGATAGACTATAGCGTTTAGACTGGAAAATATTGGCACACTGTTCAGCGCCCTTCGTCTTTGTGTAGCAAGCAGGGTGCTTAAGGTCACACCCCGTCAAGCTTCTACAATAATTGTAATTTTGTGGAATTCGGCAAAAACTTTTTTTTGTATATTAATTATAAGCTTATAGCAGAAAGATTGCGTTTCTTCGACACCCCATTTGCCAGTTTAAGCACCAATGCGCCCATCGTTTTCAATGGCAAAGTCTATTAAAAACAGACCATTTTCATTTCGTAGAATCGCGCCATGTATTTAACTATTTTGCCCAACAAAACTGTAATTTGGCGTTAAAAAGGTGGACACAATTATTCTGAACAATTCACTAACTGGACCAATAACCAGTGAATAAGGTGTTACTAGTACAACAACACTGTCTATATCAGAGTTTCTTAACTTGGGTCCGATTGTATTCCTAGAGTTCGAGGATGCTGTACCGGGGGTTCGATGAAGGTCCTCTGAAATAATTTGACGAACCCATTTTTTTTTAACCAGCTTTTAACTTAAGTAAAATTCACTATATTCCGCTGCAGATATGAAAACTCCCACGTTTAACTCTTTAACTTGGAATTCGTGATTAGGCAGAAATATTTTATAGTAACAAGTTACGACTAGAACTTTACACTCTTTTTGCGCCGGAAACCAAAGTCGTCAATGGTAGTAGCTATAGCTGTCATTACCTAGATACGTCACTGATAATTTGAGAATTAACTAAAAATACGTTTATTTTCAGCTTTCTGAAACACTGATTGAAACTTAGCAATGCAGTACATCATTTCATCAAAAGAAATGTCTCGTCATTTGTCTGGTATTCATCACTGAACAAGATGGAAGCCTATTAAATCTGGCCAGCAGAGCAAGTATGTAATCGAAATATTTTAATTTTCTTCAGTCTTATTTGCACATTTAGGTTCAATCTAGGGATCTTTTGCACAACTCCTATATATATAGAATAACTTTTCAATTTGTTCCTAACTAGATAGGTTTTAATTTGAATTTAGTGTCGAAGGTGCACGACAGATCCCAATCAAATATACTAAAATAGTGCTCTTGAATGTTTTACTATGTGTTAAATATTTTTCAATTTTTATTTTCTCCCTCGCAAATAACTAAGGTTATTTATTAATATAACCTGGAAAAAAATTGTTTTGTGAAGTCATGACAGAAGTCTTATTCTGGTCACAAGATAATATATGTGCTAAATTAACAAACTACGTCAAAATTCACGTTGCTGTATGACTAAAGATTGTGCTCATAAATAACGTAGCCGCGGACATTTTCTTCGTATCTCTCCGCAAAAATTATTTTTTTGCATATTATAGTTTCTACTCGCTCATGTAATTTATCTCGCAAAAGCTGTGTCCGTGGATAAATAAACACTTTACGAATTAGTGAGTCCCAATGTTGAACGGCACCTGTGCGCGTTCAAAAATACAAAACGGGCCGGGAATTTGATTATTTAAATCAGGCTATAGCTCCAGTGTTCCATCGTATACCAATTGTTATATGTATACCCGGGACCTGACTTGGTATACACTTGAGTGTAGAGTATACCCGGTTGAATAACACCGCACCAAAAGATCATTCCTACTAGGTAATATTTGTAGTAATGTTGGGAAATCTGCAACATTTTTTTTTGGCAGAAAAATTGCATTTCTTCGTTTCTATTTTTGCCAGTTTATGCACCAATGCGTGCTCATACGTTTCTTTTTTATAACAAAGTCTATTAGAACCCCACCATTTTCACAAGATATTATGTGTGCTGAATTAACAAAAAAGTTAAAGATTCACGTCATTCATGACAGAAAGTTGAGGATAAGTTTCCGGTAAACCCTCATGCTCAAGAGGCATAATCGATGATGGGTCGAAAGAGATAGAGTTGCCCCCTAATAAGCTTAGTTGTTGCATTATTTCGGAGGGAAAAAACTTTTTCCAAAGCTTCAGAACTTTAAGAATTTGCAGCTAAAATGAATAAATAAAAGAGTGATGATAAAAATATATGCATATAGACGACAAATAATTGGAATGGTCAATGTCAGCAGAATAGAAAAATAAATAATTACGACTATAGCTATAGCGACTTATTCGTCTTGTCGTACCAAGATTTTGGAATTGATTGATTGGTTCATTAATCATTAGTTGTTAGCGGTAATAAAATATCGAAAGTACAATCTACAATCTATCTAATCTACAATCTATCTAATGAAATACTATTTAACAAATAGGTTTGGGATTCAAATCAAAATTTGTCCGCAAAAGCTTTTACACATGTAATCCTTACAACAGATTTTTAAGATTGGTAGATTTATTATTGTTACTGTAGTTTCTGTATGCAATTGTATAGACTTTTTTTAAACCAATAAACAAATGCAGGTTTTAAGAGTTTGAAAATACTACTTTCTCACAAACAATAAAGAGAGACCACAGAATAGATTGATTTTCGACTCCGCGATTCTGAAGTTTGGTCCATCGAAGATTGAAAATACATCTCTGACACCATAGTCATGCCTTGTGGCACAACCAGTTGCAAAAAATGCATAGTCAATAATCCCACCTTTTCTTCTGGCGGACATTGAAATAAACTTTCAAAATTGGCAAAAATATTTTTGCTTATTGTTGAAATGGAAAGATCTTTATCCTGTCCTATTTGACGCCATGCTTTGCATACAACGACGTGCATTACGTAAAGACCGGTGACTTTGTATTCAGGACGAGACTGTAAAAATAATAGAGTGCCGTGTCAAAACAAATGCGTGTGATAAACAAAGGTATCACATGTTTAACGTATCATCCATTACAATCTGCTTTTTCAAAGCATAATGAGAAGCATTTATAGCGGAAACCAATTAATAATTTAATGAAATAATGGCATGATAATAATGGTTACTGAAACAAAAACATAAAAGTCATTTAAAAACTATTGAAAAAAAAACCAGCCACCGGATTAGTGGATTGGTCTTCTAATATTTAGAAACAATTCAAGTAAATAGAAGAAAACCATGTTTATACAAAAATGTTTCTAGACAATTACATTACACTCATGATGATTACCCGCCGTTCCTGAACTTGGCCTTTATCGCGATGGTCCTGGACTTGGCCTTGATTGAAAAGGTCCTGGCTTTGATCATTATATTCGGAATCGGGGAATTCCTCGACTTGTTCTGGGGGGTCCTGGACCTGTTCTGGGAGGTCTTTGTCGTGGTCGAGTAGGCTCAGGATTTGTCTTTCGTCCGTATGGTCCTGGCTCTGGTCTTGTTCGTAACCATTCGGGTCCATGTCTTGGTCACGATCCTGGTCCTGAAATACGAAGTTGATATTGAGGACCTCTTCACGAGTCTAATAATTTCAATCCAAACTTTTTTTTATTTTTATAATATATAATATATCTTTTTTAAATTTTAATCATGCATTTTGCATATTACCGACCAAGAGGCACACCAGGTTAATTGATTGGAATCAACCATTGTAATTGGAATATTGTGACGAGCTAACTGCAAACCTCAACAAAACAAATCAAAAAAATATATACAAGCTTGATTGTCGCAGAAATAAGTTGCGTTCTAGTCGACATTCAGCATTGCCAAGAACACCACGTTGATGAGGGTGAACTAATCTCTAAATTTACAGTAAGCGATTTTGAAAGTCGGAACTAATAGACGAAAAACCAGCCACTGGATTAGTGGATTGGTCTCCTAATAATTAGAAACAATTCAAGTAAATAGAAGAAAACCATGTTTATACAAACATGTTTCTAGACAATAACATTACACTCATGATGATTACCCGCCGTTCATGAACTTGGCCTTTATCGCGATGGTCCTGGACTTGGCCTTGATTGAAAAGGTCCTGGCTTTGATCATTATAGTCGGAATCGGGGAATTCCTCGACTTGTTCTGGGGGGTCCTGGACTAGTTCTGGGAGGTCTTTGTCGTGGTCGAGGGGGCTCAGGATTTGCCTTTCGTCCGGACGGTCCTGGCTCTTGTCTTGTTCGTAACCATCCTGGTCCTGAAATACGAAGTTGATATTGAGGACCTCTTCACGAGTCTTCAATAATTTTTATCCAAACTTTTTTTTTATATAATATATATTTTTTAAATTTTAATCATGCAATTTGCATGTTACCGACCAAGAGGCACACCAGGTTAATTGATTAAATTTTTTTTTATTTCTATATTATGTTCATCGGGATGTCAGACTTAGCCGGTATTGGCAGTGGTTTTGATTGAAGGCAAGACAAAACGCGCTACCGGAGTCACACGTTAGCTTTATCAGAATAACGATCGATTCGAGAAGGATTGGATATAAAATGTGCCTTATGGTTTATAAAATACGGTACGTTATAATGAATCTAATCGTGGTTTGCCAACTATTTTATCTCATTTACAATCGCAAGAATAGATACGTATATAATGGAAGAATGTATTGACAAAATTAAATATGGATATTCTATGTGATTCTGCGACCTAAGACTGAATCAATTTTTTTTCAATACAAAGCTAATCAAATAAAACACTAAGGTGGTTTTGAAATGAGACTGACATAACTTTTCCTCATCGCGTAGGATGGGTTTTAATATAAAAAACAAACATTTTTTGGATTACTATCTTGTCGCAATAATAAGATGTTTAATGCAATCGCTGGCCAGTTACCACCAAGCTCATGCCCCCGAAAAATATACTAATATTTTCCCATATTGCACATTTTCCCATATTGCACAGAACTTGCTATTAATGCGTAATGTTGTTAACTACACGACTCACTTGCGAATGCACTTGGTCGGAAAGGCTAGTTTGCGCCATGCATCCTCGCTGGGACCGGACCTCAGGTTGGACTGTTAAAATGATGTTTGTTACATTTGTGAATACATACAATACAAATATATGCAATTCCATTCAAACGGGTATATTATTCTGAGTTATTAACGAAATAATTTTTCAGTTATTATTACCGCATTTGAATTTTGTCGATAATGCTAATATTTGTCAATTATTTTCGTAGTCTTCGCGTCTTTATTGCTGTGACTTATCGTGGTAACGCGTGATGCCATTCTTCTTGATTTCATATGAAATCATGATATCCGATGCTATGAACAATTTGAAAAACCTATTTACGTTATTTCACACCATGCATCAAAAGTGTCATATGCTGATAGTGATAGATTAAACTATATGTTAATATTTTCGAGATTTTTCTATTACTATCAGTGGGGGTAACGTGAGTACTCCATAATCATCGATTTGCGCTTGATCTGTACAATTTGTCCGTATGCATGTAATGAAGGGAAGTATTTACATTATTACGAGTTTTCCTGCACACTAACACGAATGTATTGGCACTAACTCACTCATTCACTCACAAAAGCGATATCACGTCTATAATGATTATCGAATAGTGTCGTATATTTTCGAGAAAAAGAAATAAAACAGTCCATTAGGGACAAAACTTCCCTAAAGAAAAATATCACTATTTATTTCTGTTGGTTGAGAATGGATGCGAGGCATTGTACCTGACGACGAGCTAAATGTCGAAACTGGAATATCATAAACCCCTTTTTCCTCAAACCAATACTCTTTGAACTTTTCTTCCGCTTCCTTTCCCGGGGACCAGTTCACGATAAGAAACTAAAAAAAACGTATATTAAAACTTTTCGCTCATATTGTTGTCGTTTGGACAAGAAAACCTCATATTTAACTCGTACTGAAATTCCCATTAACTACAAAGCCACGAGTTTTTAAATAATTTATATGAAAAAAGTGATTTAATTTATTCTGTCAACACTTCAACGTCTGTTTGTCCTTGATGTTACGCACAAAAGGTATGCTCTCTACATATCAATTAAACAAAGTGAAAAGTTAATAAATAAATGTTTGGCTAATCGTAGATCACTAGTTAGTTACCTTTCCATCTATATTCAGTTGTCTGAGCTTTTGCATACATATAATGGCTTCTGCCCTATTTTTCATAGTGATGTAGGCCGATCCACCAACAATCTGAAAAAGTGATAACAAATGTGAAAATGCTGAAAAAAAAGTAGACAAAAATAAGTATTTTGAAACGTATAAAACATATCACACGCGTATTAGACCCTCAACATTGAGTTTATAAAAAAGTAATTCCGACTTCTGAATCATGACAGAGAATAATTCCATCTTGGTCACTACGGAATTTGCAGAAAACAGATATTTATACCATAAACGAAGGAAAATTATTTTAACCCCCAACTCAATGATTTTAAAACCTTTTTAGAAAAGCTATTTTATTACCATTTCAGATTTTAAATTATGACACAGACAATTGCCTTCATGTGGTTGTAAAATACCATTCCAGTATCAACACGGGGAACTAGGGCTTGATAGAGCTGATTAAAGCTTCAATATACGCTTTCACGTTTTGATGACTAATGCGTTGTCTGACACTATCAAAATCTTGAATATATATCAGCTTCTTGATGAGAGACTTGTTAGGACTAATGGTTAAATCGTCAGAACTAAATATGTTGTCCTCGTAGGTTAAATATCTCAGGTTTATATTCCGTGCTTTCCAACTCAAAATAAATCCCTAAATGAATTAGGTTGCAATGCCAAACCAATAGATTTAGATCGATGCATATCATTGGTTATGCCGATTATACAAGCTATTGTACGTAAAAAATATCTCACAATTCCAGTTTCAATTTCCCCGTACTTTGAACTTCAGCCTGCAGTTCTGGATTAAAATCATTTGCCGTTTGCCGGATGCGAAATGTTTTTGAATAAACTGTATAATAAGAATATTTTTAGAAAAGTATCTGTGCAATGAAAGATTTTACTTAAACTCAAAAAAAAATTTTTTTTAATCTGCATTGGCAGTCAAAATTCTGTCAACTTCCTCAGTCAGGGGTTGGTTTGTAAATGATATGTAGTTCGCAGTGGAGTGAAAATTTTCTGACGGTACCTACATATCTAACATTGCTTCGGTCCGCTCTGACATAGTTCAGAAAATAAACTCATTTATTTATAAATGCTTGTAAGCTACTTGCTTTAAGCAAGGTTTCTTTAAAATGACAGAATTATGTATAAGTGAATAAACAAACAAATCAATTGAACTCACGACTAACAAACCCATCATTGGTTGGTGTCAACTATACATTCTCATGTTCAGTGTGTTGGACACGGTCTATCGAAGAAGATCTGAGGCGATTCATATATTGAGAATTATATATTTTACCTTATCATGCAACAATCCATACGCGTTCGTGAACATAAACAAAACATTGCTCAGTATGACGAATAAGAAGATTATTTTAATGCGATGTAAAAGCGAGCTTGTGTTGGGGTTTATATATACGTTATTGTTGGATGCTGCAGATATATATGTATAACCTACATGTGAACTTTTACGATGCTCGTTTGTATGAATTTAATTCATTGAATCGAAAGCTAAAAGTAATTAATTTTATCATTTGACGCCCACATACGTTATTGTTTTTTGAGATTATTAGCTTATCAAATCACACAGTGCGGCTTAGGAATGTGATCTTCTTGAAAAGATGTCACTATGCTTAGGAATGTTATAGCGACTTTTATGCTATGTTGGTACAATATTTTGATATTCATGAACGTATGACGATATGCTTCAAAAGGTCACTTAATGTGACATGGAATTTTTTGCTATGTTCGTGCAATAATATTTAGTACCTCTAGTTGATAAATATTGAGAATTTAAAGTCTGGAATAGATGAGATTAAGTTGTGACATCCAACAGAGGCAGGACGGATGGCTTTATGTTGTTCAATTCGATGTACAGAGTTTTTCGGCCGACTCACAAGAATGCCATATTGATGCGACTATTGTACATATGATGGTTAATCATGCTCATGTACGACTATTGTACATATGATGATTAATCAAGCTTATGTAAAGTTGTCACAGATGTAAAATACCGGAGCTTGTGAGTTGTTGCAACATACTTACATAATTCTGGCGTTAAAAAATAAAATTATCAGATTGATTTGTGTTTAAATTTGTCTAGTGAAATACCCATCATTTTGTATTTGTTGATGTTTGTTGTTGATCAATTATAGCCTTTGGTCACTTTTAAAACCCCAAGGTTCGCTTTTAGTTGATTTAAGAGCTTGTAGAGATTTGCCCCAAAACACGATTCATCAGTAAAAAAATTTTAAGAAAAACAATGAACATTAGCAATGTCATTAATAAAGACAAAGGGTAATAGACGGCCCAATATATGTGGAACCAATCTAGTCACAGATAGATACCAAAAAATTGTTAATTGCAATCACTCAAGTAACTAGAGAGTTTATTGGGTATTCCTCCGATACCATAATTCTACGACTTGTGAATGACGAGATCCTGATTAACAGTGTCAAAGGCCATTTTAGGATTTGTCAATAAATATTTACGTTGCTACAAAATTGCAATACCCTAAATTGATAATATTAAAAACAAAATTGGTAATTGTTTTCTACATCATGTTTTGGTAAAAATGTTATTAATCTAGTTTGTATAAGACGTTCAAACATGCCCTATTGGCTCAAAATTTGACCTAAATTTTACGAGATCAACACGCATTGAATTCTTATTAATTTCACCAGGGTGCACAAAATTGGTTTAGCAATGGCAAACATGGGAAATTCAAGTTATTCAATAACATGTAGCTTATTACATACAGACAGATCAGTGACCACTTACATGACGCAAACGGCGCAATAAAAAAGAACCTCAAAAATAGATCTGAAACAACTTACGATATAGTTCGTAGAAGAAGTCAGAAAGTTGAGGATAAGTTTCCGGTAAACCCTCATGCTCAGGGGGCATAATCGATGCTTAGTTGATGCAGAAGGAAAAAACTTCTTCCAAAGCTTCAGAACTTCAAGGATTTGCAGCTAAAATGAATAAATAAAAGAGTGATGATAAAAATATATGCATATGGACGAAAAATAGTTGGAATGGTCAACGTCAGCAGAATAGAAAAATAAATATTTACGCTATGGCGACTTATTCGTCTTGTTGTACCAAGATTTTGGAATTGATTGACTGGTTCATTAGTTGTTAGCGGTAATAAAATATCAAAAGTACAACTTATATCTAATGAAATATTATTGAACAAATAGGTTGGAAATCGAATCAAAATTTGTCCGCAAAAGCTTTTACACATGTAATCCGTACAACAGATTTTTAAGATAGGTAAATTTATTATTGTTACTGGAGTTTCTGTATGCAGTTGTGTAGACTTTTTTAAACCAATAAACAAAAGCAGGTTTTAAGAGTTTGAAATTACGACTTTCTCCAAAACAATAAAGAAAGAACCACAGAATAGATTGATTTACGACTCCGGCAATTCTAAAATTTGGTCCATTGAAGATTGAAAATACATCTCTGACACCATAGTCATGCCTTGTGGCACAACCAGTTGCAAAAAATGCATAGTCAATTATCCCACCTTTTCTTCTGGCGGACATTGAAATAAACTTTCAAAATTGGCAAAAATATTTTTGCTTATTGTTGAAATGGAAAGATCTTTATCCTGTCCTATTTGACGCCATGCTTTGCATACAACGACGTGCATTACGTAAAGACCGGTGACTTTGTATTCAGGACGAGACTGTAAAAATAATAGAGTGCCGTGTCAAAAAAAATGCGTGTGATAAACAAAGGTATCACATGTTTAACGTATCATCCATTACAATCTGCTTTTTCAAAGAATAATGAGAAGCATTTATAGCGGAAACCAATTAATATTTTATTTGAAATAATGACATGATAATAATGGTTACTGAAACAAAAACATAAAAGTCATTTAAAAACTATTGAAAAAAATAACTGTGAATAAATTTTTTGATCAGATTGAAAATTCAGCATCGTTTTCATCATAAATATGAGTTGTTTTTTAGATGTAAATTTGGTACTATATGAATAATGGTATCGTCTATATTCTGTTTCTTGCTACTTATTTCTAAATTACCTTTTTTCTAACATTCTATGTAGTCCGGAAAGCGTTATAAATATATTTGCTTCTAAATGAGCAACAAGCTTCCATATTGCCATTTCATTAGTCCATTACGCATAACTTTCAACTAAAAAGTCCGGTATGTTGAAAAGTGTGTATGTTAAAGTGATTGAGTGTCAATGCGTGTGCATGTGCTTGACTAGGCAATAACATAACTAAGTTACCCACTTCACATTGTGGTGTTACTGAAGGTTCGTTATCTTGAGCTTGAAACTATTCATATTCAAGATAAAATCGGATTATACTTGCGAGTCTGGCAAACTATAAGCTGAGGACAGTTTCCCAGAATAAACCAAAATTTTTCTGTATTTCTAATACTTTAACCACCTGATTGTACTTGTCGATTAAACCTAGAGATTTCTAGTCTTAACTCGGTAAAATTTACGTCATCAGCATATATTTTCCCATTCTATTTCGATACTGTCACTTCGCAACAAGGAGTGAAACGCTTTTCCGCCACACTCCGAAACCGGTCCATAGCTTCTAACATGCATCTCTTGACTTCTTCAACAGCCGAGAGACCTACGTTTTCTGCATATTCGCCAGGCATACTTTTCTTCTTTCCGACCCGTCTCTCTTCAATCGGTATTTCTTGATCTTTGCAGATCTTGATCGCTCTTTCAATGCATTGCTTTATCACTGCATTGCGCTTATTGTTCAAAAAAACAATGAATGCTTTCATCTTGTGGGTACATTCTTCCAGAGACAGACCTTTCCGCTGTAAAAATTCTGTCATGAGATTCTCTTAGGACTTCCAACCAGAATTGTAAAAACGAAACGAAGAAAAAACGCTGAATCGCATCCAAGATTCCACGCGCTTGTCCTCGTGTATCAATGTTTTCATTTTGATCACAAAGTTTGTTTAATGCACCAACAACGTCAATGAAATATTGCTGAAGCGCCTTCACAGCTTCGTAATGCGCACTCCATCGTGTGTCAATCACCCGTTTTACCACATTTGGCACATACTTTAGCAATACTTTCCATCTGTGAGTAGGGAGCAGAAAAAAAAGGAGTAAATCCTTTCCACAACAGCAAAAAATGAAAGAAACTTCCGACGATTCCACTGCGCGAACTCCTGCAGGGTTAAGTGAGTGGTTTCCACATGGGATAAACAAGGCCTTAAAATTAATATCTTTTTATTTGCGTTGCACTCCAGGACGAATTCTCGCCATGGTGGAAGCATTGTCGTATGCTTTGCCTCTACACAACATCATGTCTAAGCCATTTTGCCGAAGCTCATTCCGAATAAACTTGGTCATTTCGTATGCACTTTTTCCGTGCAGTGGAAAGAAATTCAGAAAGGATTCCTTTATTTGTAAGAAGCTCGATAATTCATTTTGGTTAGCTGGTTAAAGGTACGTTGCCATGCCCTTTCTAGAGAGTTGGGTACCAAAAATGTGTTCGTCAATGACTGTACTTTAATTTGCAAGGAGTTTTAACGTTTCAAGAATATTCCCCTGGTTCCTTGAACTGAACTATGACTGCGATTACGCTTCGCAAGATTTCTCTCCATCTATTTTGTAACTTATTTATAAGAATTTGCATTTCTTTGTCAATTGTTTGATGAACCCGAAGCCTCCCATTCCATTTATCAAAGCACTCTTTGTGAATTTTTGAATTTTCGTGACTAGAAATGCGCGGATTAAGATGCTAAAAATTTACGAAAGGTTTGAAAGCAAATTAAGAAATATCAATTCTCGATTGAAATAACCTGCAACAGAAACAATATAATCCTGAGTGGCTATTCGAATATAGGAACCATGATCTGAGAACTTCATCACCATTCTTTATCTTCTTAGAGATTATTTCTCTTTGTTTCCTTCTTTAATTATTCTAATCACTGGCTTGAATGGCCCTTCTTTATTTTGAAACCTTTCGGGCCCTGATTTGATCTTCTAAACTCTCATGTCATGAGTTAATACTTTCGGCCAAGTAGCCACATCGTTATGATAATAATAGACATTATCTGTTTTATCTTTATCTGAAAGTGTTACATCCACAGGCTGATGCTTTCAAGTTTTGATGACTAATGCGTTGTCTGACACTATCAAAATCTTGAATATATATCAGCTTCTTGATGAGAGACTTGTTAGGACTAATGGGTAAATAGTCAGAACTAAATATGTTGTCCTCGTGGGTTAAAAAATCTCAGGTTTAGGCCTAACTATCTGTTTAACATATGTATGAGCGCCTACATAGCCGAATTTGCCTGACCGATTCCAGAAAATTCTTCCCAACTGGCTGCCAGCAACAGAGTAAAAAACTTAAAATATATAAATGTATTGAAAATTAACTGTAACCCTTATGCCAAATGGTAGGTTCAATACTTATAATTCAGAAATGCTCTCATTCAATTACTACAACGGATCTCTCTGTTGTTAATA